CTTCTGAAGGTTTGAGTGTATGCCATCCTGGAGTCCTGTCTGGGTTGTGGCATTGTCAGTGGGGCTGTGACCCCTACAAGTGCCTGTTCCTAGTTGGGGTTTTTGTTGCTGGACAGGGATGTGCTAGGCTGCCCTTACTGTCCAGGTGGGGGGCGGGGTAGGCAGAAGAGAGATCTGCCCCCTGCCACAGGCTGGCTGCTTTCACAACAAACTACTGACTGCCAGACCCACAGAGCCAAATGTGGGGAGGGACACTTCTCCCTCCCCTAGGGGTCTCTGACCAGCCCACCTAAACAGAGTCCCCAGGACAGCTTTACCCAGAGCTGCAAGTAGCAAGGATTCAGTGCAGAGCCCAGATGTTCCTGCGGTCAGCTTCCTGGGGAAAACTGAGATGGACAGGTTGGAATGGTAGTGATAGGTCAGGGCACAGGTGGAGACAGAGCCCTGGCTCTTGAGTGAGGCTACAAGTGTGATTATGGGAGATGACATGGGGCTGTGAGGAAATCCTGAGACCCTGAAGCTGGGGCAGGTAGGAGGGAGTAGATGGAAGGGGCAGAAGCAAGTGTCAGGAGCCCCGCCCCCTTCTCAGGTGAAGCTGGGGATGGAGCAGCAGGGTTGGATGAGGACGGAGTGTGCTGCTCGCCATTCCCCAGAGAGGTGAACAGGGTGGCTGTACTGGCTGCCAGAGGAGAGCCATGGGTGTGGGGAAATCAGGAGAGAACTTCCTAGTGGAGTACATATTGGAGGGCCAGCCCCTGGTTATCTGGCCAGGACAGAGCTAAGTCCTACAGCTGAACCCTCAGAGAACCAGCAGTGGTCAAGATCATGGTGGGCAGTGATCCCATGAGGTAGAGCCACTAAGGGTATTTGTCTCCCTAGGATTGAGCATATGGGGCACTTGTTTCTGGGACCCAACTCTCTCTCACCCTCTTCCCTGGCCAGAGCCCCCTCATCTGAGCAGGCAGAAACCTCTCCCAGATGGAGGTGGAATCAGCTGTGGGCATTCAGTCTCAAGGGCTGAGGTGGTCCACCACATTCAGCCTCTACAGGCCCAAGGGGCAGCCTGAGCCAAGGGAAGGGGAAGAGCGAAATCTCAGGACTGGCCCTAGTGGCTACCCAGGGATGAGGCTGACCCTCAGACATCCCTATCTCAGGGAGAAAAGCCATCTCTCCCACGCTGAGCATGGCTCACTATAGCTCCTTGGCCCTACCTCTCACATAGCAGCCTAAGTAAGCTCCTGGCTTCTCCACCACTCAGGGTATGTCAGTGTTCTCCCACCTCTACACAACCTGATTTTCCCTAGCATACTCTGAATCCCCTCACCTCCACTATGGATTCCTGGTCTGGGGTCAAGCCAGTTCTCCACATGCCAATCTGGGCCTCATCATGTCCCTCACAAGTGACTCAGATCCAGAGGGAACACACATGAGGGGGTTCTCTCCCAGGCTGGGTCAACTTACTCTAGCTCCAGATGACCGCCTCCCCGCCCCCGCCCCCGCCCCATTGGCTCTGTGACCTCCCAGGGTACTGTGTACTCCACTAGCCATTAAAGACTCATATATCACCCTCCTATACCACCCCTTACTACAGCCAGTTCTGTACCACAGGGCAATAGTCACTTGGTCGGCCTCAGTCAGGAGCACCAGGCCTCACTGGCTCTAACCCTGGCCCTGACTGGACGGAGGCTTCCCTGAGCTGAGAGCTCCCTGAGCTTCCCCTTGGAAGAGGTCAGTACCCCTTCCTTCTTTCCATCCCTCCTCCCTGAGCCCCCCATTTGCACAGAACTTTCTCACCCAGATCCATTACTGCCGACACCTCCCCAGAGAGCTGAGCAGTACAAAGATGTTGTCCCCATTAGACAGAGGAGAAAATTAAGGCCATATAGAAAGGAAGATGGCAATGCCAGGATAAGGACCTAGGACCCAATTTCCACTCCAGTGCTCCCTCCAGGTCTTTTAACTGCCACCTTGGTGAGCATCTAGATGAGGGTAGGGGACCTATGCTCACCAAAGTGTCCACCAGCTGCCCAACCTCTCTGCCCCCAAATCTGTAAGACTCTGATGGCATTCCCGGGTGGGGGAGAGGGGCTGGGTTACTCAGAGAGAGGTTTGAACCAGGGCTTCCAGCCTTGCTTCTGAAAGATTGCCTGGGCTGACTCAGGGCTGCTGAGATGAAGCTGCAGAGAGGCAGGCAGAGGGGAGGTGGGATGGGGTTCTCCAGCCCTGTGATGCTCCTCTCTCCCACCTGCAACACCTCCTCCACCTCCTTGCATGCCCCATCCACCACCCTTGCAGTAAGGCCTCAGCATAAAAATCCTACAACAGCCTCCTGGCATCACTTCTTGTCAAAAACCCTCACGAGGCTTGTCACCACTGTCAATGTGAAGTCTGACCCCCTTGGCCAGACACACAAGGCCCTTTGTCAACTGGCTCCTGCCAACCTTGGTGGTCTCTTGGCCCAACTTGCTTCATCATATCCCCAACATTCTAACCACACCAAACTGTCTCTATCCTGGGGTGGAGCAGAGCACAGCTCAGAGGCTGGCTCAGTGACTGGTTGTGGGTTCAGCTGGACACACACATGCTCACACGTCTCCATTAACATACAGAAACATGTGTACAGACACTGACACACACTTTTGTGTAGAAGCCCACCACCCTACTGCATGTGGTTTCCTACCAAATCACACACACAGTGGAGCTGTGAAATCTGAGCCAAGAAGGGACTGACAAACCTATTTTATGGATTCATAGAGGTGCCGAGTGTGGTCATGTCACCAGCCCTAAACCCCCGAGAGGCAGCAGTGGATCGCTGGCTGGAGCCCATGGTCTCTGAGCCCCAGAGGGTGGGCAGAGGATGGTCAAGTTGGTCCCAACCAGATTCTCATTTGGGTTCTGTGGAAGACTTGCTGTGTAGCCCTAGACAAGCTACCTTCCCTCTCTGTTTCCCCAGCTATAAAACAAAGGGATTTGGATAAGCTGATACATAAGGGCAGTCCAGGCCCCACTGCCCAGCTGCTGTCAGTTCATGCCAAGTGCTGAGAATGGAAGGGCCTGTAAAGCAGCAGCAGTCAGGTGTGCCAGGCACACTACAACCTCCAGCTGGGCCAGGAAAAGCCTCAGGGGATAGAGATGAGTTGGGCACCAGGGCAGCAGGAGTTTGAGCCAGAAGAAACAGAAGCCAAGAGCCATGCGATAGGAGCAATTATGATGACCCATAATTGACATTTGTGGAGCAAATAATAAGTCCTATTGAACACTTGCCAAGCAGAGTTTATCTCATATTTTCATCGAGATTGTGGCCAAATATAGTCTCTCTCATCTCGAAGGTATCAAATGAGCAAATTTAATGGGTTAGGCACCATTCAGCTGACAGCCTCCTCAACCCCACAAACTTATACAGGGCAAGAGCCAAGGTGGCACAAGGTGGCACAGGAGCCTCTAGCAAGACTCCACCCTTACCTAAATTCCTCATCAGGCATGTAAGCAGCTATGTGCACAAGCAGCAGCACATCCTTTATGCTGAGTATCTATCTATGTGTACACACAAAGATGCATCCCCCTCTTGGTATGCCAACACAAACATCTAAAAGCTCATATGCATACACATGCAAGCACACACTAGGGAGATGGCAGACAGGTCCTCTGCTACAGCCGCAGCAATCCTAGCATGCTCTTGCCTGGACCTTGACACCCAATGCTGATACTTAACTTGTGCTCCCAGGAGTAAGGATTGAAGCAGAGACTGGGCATATTTAGAGATTGCCAGACGAACACCAGCACACAGGCACTGCCAGGTGTGAACAATATCCCCTAATACTATGACCCCATCAGTCAATGGAAACTCCATGCCAGGATAGAAGAAACTGGTGCCCCTGCATCACAGAACAGTGCAAACTCCCCTCTTCCCTAAACCTCCTTGGCCCCCAGAGCACAGCTCATCTTGCTCGCCTCCCTCTCAACCCCCAGCCTGCCCAGTGAGAGCCATGTCCCCGGGTCATGAACCATCCGCAAGCTGGGATGTCCAGAGACCAAGTGAGGAAGGCAGGCTGTTTCCAATGGGAGGGCATGCCAGCCCTGGCCCAGAGGCTCTCACACCCTCAGAAAGGAGGGGATGGCTGGAGTGGCAGAGGGGCCAGCAGGAGCAGCCCCAGGCCTCGCTGTTCTCTATGGCTTTTTATTCCTATGTGATTCTACTGCTCACTCATATAGGGATTGGAGCCATGGCGCACGGCGGGGGCGGCCAGCGGAGGGTTCGAATACTGAGCAAGGAGACCCAAGGAGAGCCAGGACAGTGGCCCAGCCCTCTCCCAGCACAGGCTGCTGGCCTGGCCAAGGGAGCCCTCCTCTGTTGCTCTCCTCCCCACTGGCCTTTTCCCCACCAGGTGTAACAGGGGGAGGGACAGAGGGCTGCTGGACTCCATCACTGCTCTGACCCATAATCCCAGCACTGGAGACCCCCAGGCAAGGCTAATACCAGGAATGGGACTCTGTCCTCAAAGGTGTGGCTAAGGGAACTAGGGGTGTTCAGCTTGGGAAACGGGGCTCGCACAAAGAAACAAAGTCCTGTGTGGCTGGGTAGCCCCTAAACAGAGGGCAGCTCAACCAAAGAAGGTACAGTCTGTGGCTAAGGGCTGACCAAAGCAGGAGGGAGGATGTCCCTAGTAACTAGCACACACTGAGGAGAATATGGCAGAGGCTGGAGACCATGGCAGGTACGCCACTGGGGAGTCACAGTGGATTGGGTAGCCAGTCCCTCCCACACCCCATGGACTGTAGTCCTTAGGCCTGTCCTCTCTGGGGTCTCTGCTTGCCCACAACGAGTGTGTTTGGAGCCAGGCTCAACCCTCTCAGGTTCCTGTTTAAGTGAAACAAGTGCCAAGTGTGCCCTGTAGAGAGTGTGAGGAACGCCTATCAGGTGCTGTGGCTGGATTCCAACCCAACTCCCCTCCCCAGCGGGTCCCTGCAAGTCCCTTCTCTGAGGGAAGATGCATCGAGACTCCATAGTGTGGTCCTTTTTATTTTCAGTCCTTCTTGCTTCACCCCCAGAAAAAACAGGCTCAGGAGCTTGGCAGAAGGGATGCCTGGGGGACAACTGTGAACTGCCCGAAGGACGTGTTCTGGTCCTCAGGTACCTGCTGCCATGGCTGAAAGTACGAGTAGAAGACAGCCAGTCTGGTTGGGGAATGCACATGGAACAGAGGCCCTGGGTGGGAGGGATGAGGGCCAACCACACAGCCTGGGCCAAGAAGAGGAGGGGTTCCTAAGGCCTGGTGAGACCCTGGGGAATGACTCTGGTCTGCCCCAGGACCCTGCCCTATAGACCTCCTCTGGATACCCAAAACATGACCTATGCTATCACCGTGGCTGCAGGAACAGGAGGTGGACATCCATGACATTGGTGCCTGTCGGCCCGGTGTACAGCAGGTGGGCTCCACCCTGGAAATGGCGGAAGAAGGTATGTGAGTCATTGTGGGCTAGGAAGGTGGCCACATCCAGGCCCTCGGTGGTGGCCTGGTTGACAAGCTCAGGCATGACCCAGGCCCCAGCTGCCTCTGTGGGCCCATCCTTCCCATCAGTGCCACCACTCAAAAACAGCACGTCAACAGGCCCCAGTGACCGTCGTCCAAGCTCTGCTCCAACACGCAAGGCTAGTTCCTGGTTCCGGCCACCCTTGCCCGCGCCCTGCAACTGCACTGGGGGTGCAGAAGGGATGCCTGGGGACAACTGTGAACTGCCCGAAGGACGTGTTCTGGTCCTCAGGTACCTGCTGCCATGGCTGAAAATACGAGTAGAAGACAGCCAGTCTGGTTGGGAAATGCACATGGAACAGAGGCCCTGGGTGGGAGGGATGAGGGCCAACCACACAGCCTGGGCCAAGAAGAGGAGGGGTTCCTAAGGCCTGGTGAGACCCTGGGGAACGACTCTGGTCTGCCCCAGGACCCTGCCCTATAGACCTCCTCTGGATACCCAAAACATGACCTATGCTATCACCGTGGCTGCAGGAACAGGAGGTGGACATCCATGACATTGGTGCCTGTCGGCCCGGTGTACAGCAGGTGGGCTCCACCCTGGAAATGGCGGAAGAAGGTATGTGAGTCATTGTGGGCTAGGAAGGTGGCCACATCCAGGCCCTCGGTGGTGGCCTGGTTGACAAGCTCAGGCATGACCCAGGCCCCAGCTGCCTCTGTGGGCCCATCCTTCCCATCAGTGCCACCACTCAAAAACAGCACGTCAACAGGCCCCAGTGACCGTCGTCCAAGCTCTGCTCCAACACGCAAGGCTAGTTCCTGGTTCCGGCCACCCTTGCCCGCGCCCTGCAACTGCACTGTGGGTTCGCCACCAGCCAGCAGGCAGACGGGGCCCCTAGCCCCTGCAATGGCCTCCAGAACCTCCTTCAGCTGTATGTCTGGGAGTTGGAGCTCAGCTGCCAGCTTATGGAGTTGTTCATCCTCCACAGAGACTCCAGCCCTAGCTGGGGTGAGGTAGGCTCCAGCTACTTGGGCCAGCAGTCCATAGAAGTGAGCTATGCTTTTCACGTCACCCTGCATGGCTGAGCTCAGCACCACCGCCCGGTATCCCAGCGCCTCAGCCTGCCGCTGGGCCTCAGCCAGTGCCAGTACATTGGAGCCGATGATCACATTGAGGACGTGACCACAGGTGTGTGGTCCACGGGGTTCAGAGTCAGCCTGAGCCAGCACAGTCTTCACAGAACATGGCAGGGCAGCACGAAGGCCATAGCGATTAAGGATGTGCAGGCAATCTTGCACGTTGTGGACGCTGGCCACAGTGGGGCCGCTGGCAATCACTTCCACAGGATCCCCCACCACGTCTGACAGAATCAGGCTTACCACCTGGAGGGGGGTTGCAGAGGCAAGGCTCAGTCACGCATGGTCCTCGCCTCAGAGCTATGAGGACAAATTGCCCTCTGTGTACTGATACACCTTTACACCACCTGGTGTATTTTCTCATCCATTTCTAACTCCTCTCAAGTGGGTTTGCGGAACACCTGGCCACATGGATCCCCCCTCACCCTATTGGAGACCCCTCTTATTAGGCCCTGTGAACTCCCATACCAGGCCCCTGGCAATTTGTACACTGTTTTAGGCTTTCGTCTTCCTGGTACATGTGGGCCTGCATCCACCAGCCCAGGGCTGCCTGGGGAAGAAGTGACTCATGTACCTGGGCAGGGTAGGCAGCTTGAGCCAGGCCCCCACCCTTGAGCTGGGACAGGGCCTTCCGGATGGTGTTCAGCTCCTGAATGGTTGCTCCTCGGGCTGCCAGCAGCTTGGTGAGTGTCTGCTTCTCCTCCAGTGTGACGGGTGGGATGGGGGCAGGCAGCAGGGCTGAGCCCCCACCTGCAGAGATAGTGAGGACTTCAGGCAGAGGGGACCGCAAAGACACTTCCCCACCCAGGGATTACAGTGGGGTTACAGTGCTCCCGTGTGGACGTGCAATGGATATGTGCATAGTCACCACAACTTAGGCATCTTAGGCATCTGCCCTGCCTTCGGGTAGCCCAGGTCTCAGCAGGCATTGGAAGAACTATTCCTTAAGAACATGGAATAGGGGGTAAGACGGGGACAGGGACAGCAGAAGACCAAAGAAAGGGCTCCATGGGGGCTAGAGACTTGGGTTTAGCCCCAGGTAATACTAGTACAGACAGCAGCAACAGCAGTGACATTTTCCTTGCAATACTCCCTGTGTGCCCTCTTATGGTCAGCCAACAAACTCAGTTGAGGGGAGGACCTCATACCTCAGGGGAGGCCAGACAACTGGCCCAGGGCCACCCAGGCTCCTCACTGCCTCTCCTGTTCTGTGACCCTAGAGGCTCAGATCTGATATTTGGAACCACCTATCTTCTGCCAACTGTCCTGAGCCAATCTGGCACCATACCTGAGATGAGCACAAGCAGCACATCATCAGCTGTGAGACCTTCAGCCAGCTGCCGGATGGCCAGTGCAGCCCGCAGAGCATCATGGTCTGGCAGATTATCCTCTGCACCCTCAAATACCTGGACACGGCTATGGGGCTTCAACAGCATCTCCCTGAGGAAAAAAAAGAACAGACAGCAAGAGATAGGGTGGGCCCCTTTCCTCCCACCTGATTTCCCAGCTATATAGGTGAGAGGAACATAAACAAGGATGCCTGGTCACACCCATCCTGGAGCCAGGCCAGACACAGGAGAAAAAAGCTGGCGAGGAAGGGAGGCCCTGATCCAGCCTAAGTCTGGGCCCAGGTTCCCCTCCAGATGAATAGTGGAGAGCAGCCCCCCACCCTACCAATGCTCCTTACTGCTTGCCAGTGCACTCCATGGCAGCACGGATCCCCTTGGGAACGCTGATCACACCCTGCACAAGATGCTGGCCCAGTAGCTCCTCAGCTGCAGCTGCCATGCCCAGCACAGCTTTGCCGAAGCCCACCAGGTAAAGGTTTTGCTGCAGCTGAAAGCTCCGGTCCTGTACCTTCAGCTGCCCGTTGCTGGGGTCCAAGGACAGTGCCCGGTGTATCATGGGGCCTGGCAGCACGGCACCCACAGTGCTCTCAAATAGCTGGCGAGCCTGCTCTGCCAGGGCCATGCCACTGGCCAGCCGTGCCCCTGGGCTCCCCAAGAGAAGTGGGCGCAACAGGGCTCTGGCCGAACGAGGCAAGACCTGTAGGGCTGCAGCCATGCCCCACTGGTTTCAGCTTTACCTGGCACCCATGGTTGCCTAGGGGGAAGAAAGCACTAGTGAGGCTGTTGCAAGAGTAGAGACAGGAGGCTTCCCACAGCCACTCCTGAGGGCTCAGGACCAGTGGACTCCACAGCTGCTGCTATAAGAACGGACCATCTGCCAGTCCCAGGAGACTTCCTGAGGCCCACAGCAGCCTGATCGCACTCCAGTCCTCGGAGCCCAGGCCTGCCACCAAGCCACGTCCTCCTCTTCTGCAGGCCACACGCCGGCCCTCTGGATGCTCTGCTGCAAGTCCAAAGGTCTTGGTAGCTGAGCCCTCCTCATAGGTCACCCCTTTTGGCTGAGACTTAATCATTCACAGAGGGAGCAATTCTATCAGTTGACTCTTGCCCTGCCCCTTCTCCACCCCCAAGCACTTCTGAGCCTTCACCCAGGGGCAACGCCCCCTTCTGGCATTTCTTCCGTGCCTCTTCATCATTTCTGTTGCCATTAGGCTGCTGACTGTCCCATCAACTGAGCCAAAACTACTGACTTCCAGCCTGCTCTATTTCATTAACTTATAGGTCTGGGCTGGGGAGCCTGGGAAAGATAGGTCTGTGTGAGGAAGCTGCGGGCTTGCCAGAGCACTGAGAGACAGACTCAGAGCACATCCTTAAGGTACACAGCCTGAGGAATCCAAGCACTCAGGGCCAGTCCAACAAGAGGCTCAAGTTCAAATCAGAAGTGGCAGCAAAGTCTGGCTCATGGTGGAACTTTACAAAGTCCCCAGACACCGCAGGAGGCCATGTACCATGGGACCCAATCTGCAAGACAGAAAGATACCCTTCAACCTACATGGCTGGCCAGACCAATCCCTGCCAAGAACATGCCTTTGGCTCCAACATAACAAGTCTTGGGTCACACCACCCACAGGAGTGAGAGCCTAGTGGATGGAGCAAGCACAGGCCAGGCTCCCACAGCTGAGCCCAAATAATCATTTTCCCCACTGGGCAGGGTAAAGGCTAAAGAATCCTTGGGGTGAAGGTCAGGAGGCTGTATAGGAGTTTAAGGACAAACAAGCCCCAAAGAGTCATCTCTAAAACGGCATCTACTTTAATAAATGCCCATAAAAAATGCTGTCAGTTGACTGCAGCAGCAAGTGTGGACACAGCAGGAAAAAGAGGCTGGAAATCAGCCTCCAGCTCTACCACAGGTTTTAAGTGGCTGAGGAGCTCCATTTCTCTGACTAGGCTTCATCTGCAAAATGAGAGGTGGGATGAGATTAAGACCAATGTTATTCCCTTGACATCCGTGGGCTCTCTGAAGCTATCCATTATTAACACAGAAAACCTGGACCCAAACACCAATTTATCCCTCAAAAAATCTGGCAACTTCTAGCCTTGGCCACTTAGCCTGCTGGTTTTCATATTTCCCTTAAGAGACCAACACTGCTCCACCCCGAATGTGAAAGGGAACACAGGGCACTGCAATGGGAACTTTGAAAATGAGCCCAGCTTTTGCCGGGGGGACTCCTGGGGCTGGTCCTCATTAAGCTGGGAGCTAAAAGTATCTTAACATCTAGTAATAGCTGATTTTGACAGCCTGGATGAACTCTGTACTTATTTCCCAGATGAACACAGGCCTAGAGGATCCAGCCTTCCTACTGGATGCCAGAGCCCAGGGCAGGAGGGTGCTCAAGGGTAAGGTTGACAGAGAAAATACAGGACATCCAGTTAAATTTGAATTTCAGAAAAACAAGGACTTTTTTTTTGCTTAAACAACATTTTTTAAAGTACAGTTGGCATATTAGTTTCAGGTTTACAAAATAGTGATTAAGAATTGTTTTAATATAAGTATGTCCCATAGAATATTTGGGACATGTCTACATTAAAATATTATTTATTGTTTATCTGAATCTCAAACTTAACCGGACGTCCTGTATTTTTATTGGCTAAATCCAGCAATTTTAATCAGGATACCGTCTCTTAGACTCCCAGGCGCTCCAGCGTGAAATCCGGAGTCCAAGATCTGCGGTGACTCCTCCCAGCCGCCAAGTGGGGCTAGAGCCATTTCCGGCCTTCACTGCTAGCACAGGCTCCCGGAAGTGACGTCACCGTCGGCCAGAGCCTCAGGCCTTAGGGAAATGGCTGCCGTGTAATGCCCAGTGGTGACCCGAGAAATAACGCCCCCTTGCCACTTGGACTCTCTGTGGTCCGGCCCAAAGACTGCTTCGAAGGGCCTTCGCGGCGCAGACTTACCGTCCCACAGTTCCCTGCCGCGGCCATCGGCAGGAGGCCGGAAGTACTATCTGGTGGGAGGAGCGGAATCCGGAAGTGTGAGGTGGGTGGGGTGGGTTGCGTTGCCGGCTGCTGGTTGCGGTGGGAGGGGCCCAGGGGTAACGAGTGAAAACTGAGATTGGCTGGGCCCTGACCGCCGAGAAACCCGGGTAGAGTCAGTTTGCGCCTCGGTTTCTTAGTCTCTACAATAGGGGTAATATTTCCCACTTCACTGATTCGTGTGATCTGTCCTCTTTTTTATCCTTTGCGATCCAGGCAGTCAGCAGATACATTCCAAGCTCCTGTTAAGTCAGGTACTGGTTTGCTCAAACGGCGCGGAGAATCACTACTTCCCCCACAACCCGCCTGTTCTGGAGCCAGATTAAGTCATTCTCGCCTGTCCCCATCGCTGTAATCCCACAGTCACTCTTTGGTATTCCCTCCCACTCCCCCTTGGGCAACCAAATAACAGCTGTGACTCAGCAAGAGAGTTCAGTTCTCTGATCCTTGAACACAAGCTGCGTGTAAATACAAATGATCCTTGGTCTCCTTCAATGTCCAGGCTCTCACCTTGTGGCCACGGTGAGACGGGCTTGATGCCTTTACACATTCAAAAGACAAGTTCTGACCAGACTCCAAAGACACAGTAGAGCACACTGCTTTTACTTATGTTTTCTTGGAGAGGTGGGGGAGGGAGTTACATCACAAATCAGAGAGCAGACTTGCTAAAAATCTTAAAACACATTTCATACAATATACAGATGATGTAGTATTGAATTGTACACTTGAAACCTATATAATTTTATTAACCAATGTCACCCCAATATATTTAATTTAAAAAAAAAAGACATTTCTCACACCGGTTCCATTTACCATCTGCTATATCTTTCCACAGGTCTGCAAACCATACTCTGCTCTTGTCACGAACTTCTCCTTCCTCTTCCTAGCTGTCTCCCTGGATTATTCTTTCCCTTTATAATAGAGGATCTTTTATTCCCTAACAACTGCTCCCAAATGCTTCTCTACTCCATCATCCAAACAAAGACACCTTCAGGAGTATCTGCTCTATTTAGATGTGGGGAGATTGTAAATACTTAAAATTTCAGTTTTTACTTGCTTACAGTAAGCTGTCTGCATTCATCCATGCATTTATTTATTCATCCCTCCATCACTCAACAGACATTTCCTGAGTACTTATGTAGGCCAAATGCTGTAGCTGCTGTGATGAATAAGAAGTGATTCTTCAGGGTGGAAAACTTACTCTGCTTTTGTAATTACATTTCCCATACTGCTGAAAGGAGTGTAAATTTGAGCACCTCTCTCATTATTTAGTTTTAGAGACTCATAAACAGACACCATTTACTGTGACAGTGCTATTCTGTCAGATTATAAGCAGGAAACTAATGGTACCCAATTTTTTTAAGTCCCCATCCTACCGCACAGCAACTCACAAGATGCATTTAACAGCAGGAAGGTTTGGATACCTACTGGACTGTGAGCTCCTAGAAGGTGGTGACTTGGTCTAATTCACATTTATATTTGTACTGCTTTGCGTAAGACCATGCACACATTGAAACTGGCATTTCTTCATCTTTTTAAAATGAATTAAGAAAATCAAATGCTCTGCTACAAAGTACTGCAGACCTTAGGTGGAAAGGATTTCACAAAAAGAAAAGAGATGGTGGTAAGTGGAAGTAGAGGCTTCAGGAAGTGGTGGAATTTAGATCTAAGAAAACAATGGGCTCGTCAGCAAGCTTACACATACCTGGATAGTGGGCACGAATATGTCTACAGTCTTTTTCAGTGCACTTTGGCAATAAAGATCACTGTCAAAATGTGACATGCAATTTCATTCCAAGGAAATAATTGGATATGTAGACAAAGATGGTGGATGGGGAGGAAAATACTTTTTCCTTTACTGTCTTAGGTTCAGTGGCTGAGGCCCCACAAATTAAACCGACAGAAGACAGTTTAATCAGAGGAGGGAAAGGTTTATTTCATGTGCATATGGTGGGGCAGGGGAGGGGTGGCTCATAGAAATGAAATGAAAACCCCAAAGAAGCCACTAGGCCTGAGAATATACCATTTTTAGCAAAGAGTGATGAATTATGGAGATGGGATAAGACAAAGGGGGTTTGAGCTTCTAGGGGCAGTAAATTGTAGGAAAATAAATATGTGGCAGAAACTAATAGAGGATAAGGGTTGCTATAGTAAGATTTGTTTGTACAGATTCATCTTGTTGGTTCCCCATCTCCTGGTACTGAGATGGAAAAACTTTCTCACAGAAAATTGACTTGCTAAAAATCTTAAAACACATTTCATACAATATACAGATGATGTAGTATTGAATTGTACACTTGAAACCTATATAATTTTATTAACCAATGTCACCCCAATATATTTAATTTAAAAAAAAAAGACATTTCTCACACCGGTTCCATTTACCATCTGCTATATCTTTCCATAGGTCTGCAAACCATACTCTGCTCTTGTCACGAACTTCTCCTTCCTCTTCCTAGCTGTCTCCCTGGATTATTCTTTCCCTTTATAATAGAGGATCTTTTATTCCCTAACAACTGCTCCCAAATGCTTCTCCACCCCATCATCCAAACAAAGACACCTTCAGGAGTATCTGCTCTATTTAGATGTGGGGAGATTGTAAATACTTAAAATTTCAGTTTTTACTTGCTTACAGTAAGCTGTCTGCATTCATCCATGCATTTATTTATTCATCCCTCCATCACTCAACAGACATTTCCTGAGTACTTATGTAGGCCAAATGCTGTAGCTGCTGTGATGAATAAGAAGTGATTCTTCAGGGTGGAAAACTTACTCTGCTTTTGTAATTACATTTCCCATACTGCTGAAAGGAGTGTAAATTTGAGCACCTCTCTCATTATTTAGTTTTAGAGACTCATAAACAGACACCATTTACTGTGACAGTGCTATTCTGTCAGATTATAAGCAGGAAACTAATGGTACCCAATTTTTTTAAGTCCCCATCCTACCGCACAGCAACTCACAAGATGCATTTAACAGCAGGAAGGTTTGGATACCTACTGGACTGTGAGCTCCTAGAAGGTGGTGACTTGGTCTAATTCACATTTATATTTGTACTGCTTTGCGTAAGACCATGCACACATTGAAACTGGCATTTCTTCATCTTTTTAAAATGAATTAAGAAAATCAAATGCTCTGCTACAAAGTACTGCAGACCTTAGGTGGAAAGGATTTCACAAAAAGAAAAGAGATGGTGGTAAGTGGAAGTAGAGGCTTCAGGAAGTGGTGGAATTTAGATCTAAGAAAACAATGGGCTCGTCAGCAAGCTTACACATACCTGGATAGTGGGCACGAATATGTCTACAGTCTTTTTCAGTGCACTTTGGCAATAAAGATCACTGTCAAAATGTGACATGCAATTTCATTCCAAGGAAATAATTGGATATGTAGACAAAGATGGTGGATGGGGAGGAAAATACTTTTTCCTTTACTGTCTTAGGTTCAGTGGCTGAGGCCCCACAAATTAAACCGACAGAAGACAGTTTAATCAGAGGAGGGAAAGGTTTATTTCATGTGCATATGGTGGGGCAGGGGAGGGGTGGCTCATAGAAATGAAATGAAAACCCCAAAGAAGCCACTAGGCCTGAGAATATACCATTTTTAGCAAAGAGTGATGAATTATGGAGATGGGATAAGACAAAGGGGGTTTGAGCTTCTAGGGGCAGTAAATTGTAGGAAAATAAATATGTGGCAGAAACTAATAGAGGATAAGGGTTGCTATAGTAAGATTTGTTTGTACAGATTCATCTTGTTGGTTCCCCATCTCCTGGTACTGAGATGGAAAAACTTTCTCACAGAAAATTTATGTCCTGCTTTTAGGTAGAAAGGAGAAGGGCAAGGAGCCCTTTGTGTGTCTGCTGTTTCTCAAATGTCTTCATCCTAAAATAATCCTTATGCCAAAGTGGCATATTTTGGGTGGCATACTGTGATTCCTTTCAATGGATATAAAGAGATATTCATCCCAGAGATTTTCTGAGTATAAGCAATCTAAATATCCATTGATGAGAATTTATACAAATAAGTTTATAGTATTATAAACACATTAAATATAATATTAATTCTAATATAATTAAGGCTACATACATATTTTTTTTAAGATGCTACTTTATGACTAAAGAAAACTGTTGAAAGGCCATTTAAGTAGAATATAAGCTTTCCCCTTCAAGCAAGATGAAGGAAAGAAGGTAATGGGGTATGTTACTCATACTCTACTGAAGGAGGGTTTACTGAATTTATTTATTCAAGTTAAGCTTTAATTTAAAAGTTCCCTTTTAGAGCAAAGGAGGAGGTGGCTCCTGGGTGATGTTGGAATGTGACCAGGAGAAGGTGGCAGTAGTGACACCCATCTTCATTAACCTTGCCAAATCTCAGGAATTCATCATGGATAAAGTACTTGTGCCTGTAACTGAAATTTAACCTCCCACCCCAACTCCTGCTGCCAGCTCAAGGGGATCATCGGGATAGTGAATGGTACTCAGTCTTGTGCTTTCTGACCTGGAACTTTGCTGTAAATAAACCCTGCTCCATGAGAAAGCTAATCAGGGATGATGTGCAGCCATTTAAGTTTCCAGATGCCTGAGGAGTTTTGAGATGTTAGTTTATGTTGTTACCACAGCAGAGCCAGTAGTCATACTCCTAAAGCACCGGCTCCTCTATCAGCTTTCATCTTGTAGGCCTCTAACCTCCAACTCACGATGCTGTTTACCACCAAAGTCCATGTCTCTCCCCTTCCTGCACTTCCTCGCCCCCTTGTGGTTGAGTGTGGTCATTCAACTCGTTCTGGCCAATGAGTTGTGAGTGGAACTGATGTGGATCATTTCTGGCATTGAATTGCCAAAGTGAGACCTTCTTTCCCTTGGACCTGGCAACTGACAACATTCGTGATATGGCTTTTCTGCCAACCTGAGACTCTGAGTGACTCTGATGGGAAGAGCCATCATGCCTGCCAACCCACAATGGACATGTACTGAAAGTGGAAAATAAACCTTTGATGTTTATAAATCACTAAAATGTGGGGGTTTGTGTTATTGTGCCATAATCTAGTCTATCCTGGTTGATATGCTTACTTTATCCTATTGAAACTTAGTTTCAGAATAAAGACCTGCATCTTAGTACTGTAGGGAGGAGACAAGAGAATTAAAAATGTTAATCGAGGCACAATTAGAGACTGCAATATGCTGATCAGCCCTGCAGCCAGGCCAGGAGGACACCTTCAGAACAAAGCTAGATTTCTGCTGGATTACTAACAACTCAATCTTCACACCTGTGAAAGAGAAACAGGAACCAAGAGTCATTCCCTATGGCTATAACCATGGGGAACCTGTGTATTAAAGGCAAGAACTGCCAGCAGGTCTTTCACTCTGCATATTCTTACCTTTTCAGCTACATACTCTTCCCTTTCCTCACTGTATGTCCATATCAAAGGAAATGGAAACTAAAGAGTGATATAAACTGAATTCCCTGAACACTCAGGGTCCCTCTCAGTGCCTTTACTTTGTCTCTCACTGTCTCTCTCACTATCTCTCTCACTCTCTGCCTCTGAGATGAGACCACACTGTGGAGTGTTATCCCTTTTCTAATAAACTTTCCTTT